GGACTCCCTCCTTTCACTGGGAGTCTCCAGTTTGTTTAGAGTTCTAAAATAAAGTGGATAAAAAATCTGATTTTCGTCTTGGTGTTCTGTTTACCTCGTACCAAGTCCCAAACCTGGTAATTAGGGTCAATTGGCTGGACCCAAACAATAGAATAACCTCTCTCAAACTACTGTTCTTCCTAAAATTACAACTTCTATTGTAAACACTCCCAGTTCTTTTGCGTATTATTTGGTTCTGTGCATAGCAAAGAATTATTTCTTCGTTAATATATAGCTATAACAAATCCTAAGATCAGGCAAAACATACAAGTATAAACAAAAATATGATGGAACAAAACTGAAATACAATTGCTAATATTTTTGAACTGAAATAATGTTCAATGGGTAAAAACAGAGATAGCACTGGACTTTCAGTCTTTCTTGATATTAAGATATCGGTATTTATTGTTAAAAATCCATATTTAGAACTTTAGAAGGTCATAAACACAGAGACAACTTTTTGCTCCTGATCCTTCTTTTTTCCCTTTTCTTGACTATCCACATGTTTTAAACACATAGACAAATATGATCAAAGAATACAAAAAAGATGGACTTTTTAGGTTTAAGAAAGCAGGATTGACTACTGATGAGAATATGTCTCTTTTAAAGTTCCTTAAAATTTCAAATGTTATTTATATATGTGCAAATTGTTAAATAAATGCTAATAATGTTAATAAATGTAAAAATATTAATACATTTTATTTACATAGGTATACATTGCATTTATCTTCAGTGTTGAAATGCTATTAAGTTTTAATGTTTCTTTTAGTGTGCATGCTCTTAAAAAGATTGGAGGGAGCATGATCTAGTAAATTGCCTAGTAAATTTACATATCAAATATGTACAAAGCTATGTATTCTATGGAATATAGACAGGTATCCTCCAATGCTACACTTAGCCTCCCATTTCTGTGCCTGTTATTCCGTTCCAAGGAGGCATGGTTTCAATCTCAAATGTGTCCTCCTGATTTAAAGGTTAAACTTAGCTCATCTGGTTGCTTGCATGGATTTCAGTGATGTCCAGTCATCTGGAGAGTACACAGCCACGCCCATGTAGATATTCTGGCAACGATATGGAAGTGATTTGCTATGGTCTTCTTTCCTAAGCTACTATCCTGGTATTTCCTTATGGCCTCCATCAAAGTACTCCGGAGGCCCGATTCTGTTTAAGTTTAGATTCCCAACCAGGTTCGACTTATTCATACTTATTAATTATTGTATAAGACCGTTCTCTCTCTTTTTGTTTTCAGAATTATTCTTAAAATCCCTTTTTTGAAAGAAAAAAATGCAGCTGAAGCCTGGTTATGACAATAAGACCTGAGGCTAAGCCTAGTACCGTACTGTAATTCCATTGAAGCCTTGCAAAGGGCGGAGTAGAAGACCTCAAGAGGCGGCGCCGACGCCGGCGCAAGAACTCTATCCGGCTTAAGAACTGCCGCCATGGCCGCATTTGCAGCAATCTTGTCCTTGCTGCACTGGTGCAGCTTGTTGTGGATGCTGCTTGTGGCCGCTCCCGCTGCTTCCTCTTGGGCCATCGCCGCGGATGAGAGCACCGGCAGTGAGACGAGATCTGTACGAGGCCGCGAAATGGATGCAAAAGGAGATCGGCCTGCTGAGAAGCATCAACCCCACGATTCCTCATATGGCACCTTCGCCAGCGAGTTTTACGATACGCGCTTCCTCTCCGACGACGGTGAGAGGCTATCCGAATGGAGCAGAGAGCTAGAAGCTCTTCAGAGGGAGGGGAGAAGGAAAAGCAGGGGTTATCTAATTTTAAACTCCCGATTAGAAGAACGCAAACATGCTGCAGGTCTGTCGCTGTCTGAAGCTTAGCTTCGGAAAAGGGAATTGTGGCATTGTCCGCCACCAGCTCCAGTGAGGGAGGAGAATACAACGACTACTCCGTACATGATCAAAATGCTGTCTTGCCTTTTGGAAATCTTTGGCTACGTTTTGGGGGGTGGAGTCTCGGTGCTATAAAATGAGGTAGATATGCGCTATTCAGGATAATATATGATGGCGATGTTTCCTCCTTATCGGGATAAATTGATTTCATGGATTGAAGCAAAGAAAATTATTTTCTGACAGTTTACCATTTCCTCTACCTCACTCCTCTCTCAATTTCTAGCGGCTGCCAGACTCTCAATTTCTAGTGGCTACCATGGAAACAGAGGCAGTTGGGATGCAGGGATATTGTTGTCATAAAAATACTCTGAACCTGAAAACCCAGGGTAGGTTTTGCCACTTTGTTAGAATATAATACATCCACTTAAAAACTCAAAAATATGAAATACATGCAGAGTATAAGTTATGAACTAGGTGAAACTGATTATATAGACTGCACTGATTCTGAACATGGTTCTGAAGAATTTGAGTTTGCTTGCTCTAAATATAGTGAAAGCCAGTATGCTCAAATTGTTGATGGCTGTAGTGTACTTGGGCTGAAATTGCTTTAATGAGAAAATTAAGTAACTCTTTTTAACCAATTAGATATGAATTATTTTGTATTAATAAATTTAAGTCCAAAAGGCAAGAGGTAAAAATTGGGCCACTGTGCCAGATGGGAAAACTTTGCTATTTATCATTTAATTCTGAATAGACACTACCCTAGATGTATCTTCTAGTGGTGTAATACAGGCAGCAGTGCTCTAGTTTGCAAGATAGTGTCTAGATTAAGGATCCTGGCTTGCATAGGTTAAAGTGAATATGCTTGGGGTGAAACTAGGCTTTGGAATTACTTGTGTCATACTGGCCCAAACGTGCTCGAACTGTCAGCTATGACTAAGGCTACTCCTTCTTTATCTACTAAAAAGTGTTATATGGCTAGGTCAATATTTGTGAGCCTATCGTGATAATCAAGGGATATGGAAGATTGCAACCTAGAATATACGAAGGGTTAATGGTAAATAAAAGGATTGACGAATGAAAGAAAAATAAATTATGTTGTGTGCTTGAGAAACTAAAAGAACAGGAAGAATGTAATAGATCTGAATAAAGGTGTTCTGTTCTTGTGGAGTGGAGTTGATGAATTTATGTAAGTAAGTATAATTGTGGTTGAAAGGGCTCAACTAGATATATGAGAAAGTACAAAGTAGGGTTATCTAGGTTGTTATGGGTATATATGAAACTAGAAATGTATAGGTTGGTGATAGTTGCATTTTATACTCCAGTGAATTATTATAATGGATGAACCAGAAATAGGTTTTAGGAAAAACTGTTCAACATTAGGAATAAATGCAATTAAGGAGAGAAATTATATTATGATAAGGCGGAAGTGAGATAACAAGAGAACAGAAAAAATGTTTAGGCTATTCAAATATCAAGAATGAATGGTGATAATCTGCATAGTAAATGTCTGTTTATTACATAAGGAAAAAGAATGAAATAAAAAGCCTGATTGATTTCATCATTTATGATGAAAGGTTTAGGATTTAGTGAGGAATATAAGGGAGATAAAATACCCCGATTGTAGGAAAGATCACTATTTGAAATTCTCCCTGACTTCTGCTGCAGTTTGGGGAGAACACTTTTAGTCTTTTGAGTGGGAAAGAGACTGTGCATGGGTTAAGACATTGTGCTCCAGCTCCCCAATAACCTTTGGATATCAAAGGTTGGGGGTTAAGGTAGAGAGAATAGTGGCAGTTGTTCCTTGTTATCCTGTCCCTCTGGCAGTCTGAGTTCTGTAAAGCTTGTAAGGGGTGGGAGAAGAAGGAGAAACATCTACAGCTGGACCGTTATCCTATGAGTGGGAATGGAACAGGGAATCATATGCAGGATGTGGAGGCATGCAATAATGAGCATGTAAATACAGGAAGAAGTAGGTCAAGCTGTAAGACCTACATTTCCATTGTTTCAGTACAAAAATGTACAGAATATGGGGAAAATAGAAAACTGGTAGCATAGAACTCATGAATAGAATGCAAGGGATGAAGGGTATAATTTTTCAAAGAAATACATGTCAAAAGAGAAGATGGATGGTATTACATATGAAGTACATCCTTACAGAAATCCAAGAATTTGAGCAAGAAGCACCAGTTGAGACCATGTCAATAAAAATACAAAAGGAGTGATATTATTTGGGGGGTGCTATAGAGGGAAACCTATATAAACAGAAGATTTGGATAATGCCCTCCTAGACCAGATTACAGAACTTTCAGGGAGGAAAGATATAATGTAATGGGAGACTTCCACAACATAGATATCTGTTGTGAAATCAGTTCTTTAGGGTGGTCCCCAAAATTCCTTACAGCTCTTGCTGACTGATTCTTTATCTAAAAGGTTTCATAAGACACAAGGTGATTTTCTAAAAGGTTGCATAAGACACGAGGTGATTTGATCCTAATCAACAGAGAAGAACTGGTTGAAGATGTAAAAGCAGTTGGAACCTCTGGCAGAAGCAACCACATAACCCTCAGTTTCAGGATACTACAGAAATTTAAATTGGAGCATAGTCATACATGCCCACTAGATTTCAGAAGAGCCAGTTTCAACTAGTACTGGGTAGGATTCTACAGACAGAAATCTTCAGCTCAGAGAATATTATTTTATTTAGTTATTTTAATCCTTGGGATCTTTTCTACTTTTTCTCCTAGCTTATTGATGTCAGCTCTCTTGAAATCTAGAACACAGATCTGATTGCCTTAACTTCTCTCTGCCAGCAGTGTGTGGCTCCAATGATGGCATGGTCATTCTCTCCCAGGGTCCCTGCAAGTTCTACTTTCTCGACTATTTCTTCCCCTTAGTCCAGTAAGTCCAGTATAACTGACCTCTTAGTACATAGCTCCACTTTTGGACGATGAAGTTGTCTGCAAGGCACGTTAAAAGCCTACTGCCCCTCCCACTTGCTACAGAGTTTGATTCCCGTTTGATGTCAGAGTAGTTGAAATCCCCCATTATCACAGTAGTGTTCTTTTCAGACACCTCTTTAATACATATATCATTTGCGGTATAGTGATGAAACAGAACAAATTCTACACCAGAGCAATACTTATGTTTTTGTATGAACTACCAACAGTGCAATATGGCTGAGTTTGCATAAAACAACTCATTCTTTTCCTTCCATATCACTGTTTCTGGTCTGCTGTGGTTACCATTCACATTTTTTTCCTGACACTATTCTACTCTTTCCCACTGCTGAGGCCTCAAAGATTTAAAAGAACATCAGGTTGCATTCAGACTCTGATGTTCTGACTAATGTGCAATACTTAAAAACTTTTAATATTTTTGTGTATTTCGGATTTCAATTTTTAGTTGGTTCTTGTCCCCCTTAAAAACCATACTCTAAATACTTATATTTGCCTTGTTGCATAACATGTGGAATGTATGGAAGCCATTCTTCCTTAAATTTGGTTAGGCTTCGGTTGTGAATATATAGTATGGTGTTAATTTTGTCATTACTACATACTATATTCTCCAAGTTTTAAGTTGTCAGTCTGATGTCATCAGTAAAATATCTCTTTTCCAGTGTTGTGCTAAGTTCATCCTCGTGGTTGTGAACATGAATCTTAGTAAATTTTGCTTTTTTAAATATGTTTTGGAATCATGCCTAGTAAGAAGAATTGTGGTTTCATTTCAAATTTTATTTCTAAAATTCTCTGAATAGTGTTGTATATTTCTTTTCAGTACTTTTGAGTTTTTTACATATCTACCACATGTGGTAAAATGTTCCTTCTGTGTCATGGCATTTGTAGCATCTATTATAATATGATTTGTCTATTTTGGCAATTATTGATGAAGTCATCTACCATCTATAAAACATTTTACACAAGTTTTCTTTTAAGTTGTAACTTGGGATAAATTTTATAGATTTTTTCTGTAATTCTTCCCACTGAAATGTTGTTACTATTTCTTTAAATTTTGGCATCTGTTTTATCATTCAGTTTTTTATTTGTTCTGTCTCCATGTCATTTCTAATTCTGTCATTTTTTTTAGAAGTCATCCTCATTTTTGAGGTCAGGTTTTATTCCTCCAGCAATTTGTAGGTACATCAACCATGATATGTTCTGGCCTTCACCAGTTAGTTCTTCCTGTGTCTTTAGTCTGTTCATGAGTGGATCTGAGTGGATCATAACTGCATGCAAGTAGCCCTCGATTAACAATCACTTGTTCAGTGACAATTTGAAGTTACAGCGGTGCTGAATGAGCAGTTGTAATGACTGGTCCTCGAAGTTCTGGCCATCCCAGCCCACCCACGGTCACGTGATTGGGATCTGGGCACTTGGCAACTGACTCACACTTACAATAGTTGCAGCATCCTGTGGTCATGTGATCAAGATTTGTGACCTTTCTTGCTGGCTTCCCACAAGCAAAGTCAGTGGAGAAGCTGGCGGGAAGGTCACAAGTTGCTTGGGGAAGTCTCTCCCACCTGTGCACTTTCCCCAGCCCCTCTGCACTTGCGCCTTGCCAGCCACCCACACACCCTCTCTGAGCCTCGCTTAGCTTGTGCTGCACCTCCCTGGCCACCTGCACACCCTCCCCAGCCACTCTCGCACCCTCCCTGGCCATTTATGCACCCTCACCTACCTGGTACCAGCTGCCTCAAATCCCATGCGCTTGCGCCACACCTCCCCACCACCTGCACTCCCTCATGCATCCTTCCTGAGACTCAATGTGCTCATGCCGTGGCTCCCCCACCACCTGTGCACCCTCATGCACCCTCTCCCACCCAGCAGCGGCCACCCCAAGCCCCGCTGT